CAAGCATTTTGATGAACATTCATCATTAACTCCTCCAAAAAATATAGTTTATTCAATGATAAATGAATATGTGAATCATAACAGTTCTTCACTATATCTGTAAAAACGCTAACAAATTAAATCTATTATTATTATTATTATATATTATATTATAATAATAATAGATTTTAATTTGTTCCTAACAGCTGATAGGAACAATATGATTGTTAATAGTATCATATTCATTCAGACAAACATCGATGAGACAGTTAATTAATGTACTTATTGCAGCAGTCTGCATAGATTTGGTACCCCTGCTGGTCTAAGAGTGAAACAAACTCATTCAGTTATTGTTCAGTTAAAATTCATTAAATTACGTCTGCCACCTTATAAGGCTTTACTGATGTGCCACAATAATATCACCTATGTGATTGAGTTAAAATATTAATATTGTGGCTTTCCAAGTTAACATTGATTGTAGGGGTGTAACGTATCACAAACATTTCGGTTCGGTACGTACCTCGGTTTTTTAGGTCACGGTTCGGTTCGGTTCGGTTCGTTACGTTTTCGGTAAAGCAGAAAAAAATTATCACAAAACATTAAAAACAATTTTTTAATTAGTGTTAAACTGTGACTAATGGATTCAAATAAATACAAAATATAGTAAAATAAACATTAAGGTACAGCATTTCGATGAACTGAAATAATCTGTATTTGAACTGAACTAGTACCTAAGCAGCCAGCTTGACATTAGGACTTGCTTGTCATTGTATTTTCATGTTGTTTAAAGAAAGATGATCTTGTCCACATTGCTTGCTGAAATGGCAGATCTGCTGGCACTAACAATGTCTCCTGCTGTGGAGAACACCCTCTCTAGGGACAGTGGCAGCAGATACAGCCAGGTAGCGCTTTGCTAACATGGCAACATAAGGATATTTGGCGTTTGTAATAGCTTTGGCTCGGTCTGAACTTTCTGCGAGTGGTGGAGGCTTACATGCTAGTGGGAGTTGGGTTTGCACTTCAGTCTTTTTTCTTTTGGTACCGGTGATATTCACATTCGGGTGATGCCTTTTCAAATGAGTGTGATGTATTGCCAGCTGCGTAACCAATGTTAGTTGAACAATGCCGACAAACAGCTTTGGTTCGGTCCACCTGTCTTTGTCTGTTATCCTTGTACGTAACTGCGAAACCAAAATGTTCCCAAACCGGAGACTTCAATGATGCTGGAGGATTTTCAGCTCGACTTTATCTGCGTTCGCCATTTCGACAGTTCCTCAAATTACTGACTACATTTGAACGCATCCCTCTGACCAGCTCTCATAGTATGCCTCTCGTCCAATGAAATGACTTGGTCGCTCTATGATATATACCTGAGATTACTTCCAGAAAGTTGTTCATGTTCTCAATTTTTTACGTTTAACGCTATATTCGTTCGGTACACACGTGTACCGAACCGAAGGGCCCGTACCGAATAATTTCAGTACTGGTACGTGTACCGTTACACCCCTAATTGATTGATATGATTGCGATTTAAATCAGCATATACTTCTGTCAGGGGATGCCACCCCTCAAAATCTCCTGCCACCCTCTTACCACCCCATGAATATTTGTCTAGATCCGCCCCTGCTAAGCACTCATTTTTCTTGGGCTCTGTGTTGCTGCAAAGGGTGATTACTTGCAGATGAGAGGGATGGAGATGGGTTGGATTTGTGTGCCACGTCATCTTATGGAGCTGGACTGTGAGCTGGTTCGGTTTCTTGTTTCTGTTGGGGTGCGCCCTGAGTTACAAGCTGAGGCTGTCTGTATGATTCTGGGTAATGATATGGCCGGTGGTCGAGTGTGGGCTGGTTTTCCGTTGCCCTCTGTTGTTTCCAATCCTTCGGGGTCTGAGGTGTTGGAGAAGAGTTAGCTGGTTTTGCCAGGATGTTTTTTGGCCTGTGCTGTTATCCGTGCACAAAGCCGAAAAGAGTGTGCTCCTGAGTCATGGGGTAAGGCACGTTGGGTGCTTTCTGAACGTGTAGTTCCACTGCCTGAGCTCCCACCGTCTGGTTCGAAGGGCTGAGAACCAGAGGGCTGACTCTTCCCTGTCTGAGTTGTGGGATGAGGGGCTGCCAGTTGACAAGGTCAGAGATGGAGCCCCGGGACACTTAGTTCAAGGGGATTTGCTGGTGCCCAAATGGGCACCCCTGTGATGGTGACTTTGTGTCATGACAATCAGACATAGACCAAAGACTGTTTTTGCAGTTCTTAAAGTGTTTCGCTCATCCTCACTGCCCTAAAGTTGGATCTTGTATTTTAGACATTGTAAACTGATACCAAAATGATTACGACTATGACTAAAGCCATGTAAACAACAAATATAAACATAGACTCCGAGGAACTCTGATATCCCGGACCCTCTTCTCTTCTCCTCATGCAGTTTTACTTTGTGCAAAATCCACTAAAACTTCCACTTCATTGTTAATGTGTCAGAACCTACGGTTACATAATTAGGAAAGCCTCCTTGCTGCTCCTGGTTGATTAGGAATCAACAATTAGATAGTTTTGTGGGGCGCTGAAGAAACACAATCGCCTCTTTATACTCTGGCTTTGCCGTAACCACCTCGGAGCCCATGCGAGGACTGGATTATATTTAATATTATGAAATAAAGCTCTTTTGAGGAATAAGCTTACATTTCAGATTAATGAGAGAGGGATAGGGAGAAAGACAGATAGAGCAGTGGATGGTCACAGTGCACACAAGGATTTTAGACTATTCCAGGGGGCCAGTACAGTTTGTCCCGGCCTTAGAAGTTCTGTGGTATGACCCCCTTTCCCTCTGATTCTCCCTCTCTCTGTCTCTTTCTCTCAATCTCATTCCCCTCTCTCCATCCCTCTTTTCAGTCCGCAGCAATTAGAGAGGCAAAGTGGGAAAAGAGGAATGTGTGAGCACGCTTTGTGAGGATTGGTAGAAAGAGAGAGAGAGTACAAGAGAGAAAGTGAGAGATAAAGAGAGAGGAAGAGATGAGAGAGACACAGAGGAGGGGAGGAGAAGAAAGGAGAGGAGAAGGCCTGTCTTAATTGGCCTGTGTGGCCACGCTGGGCTGTGATGGTCTGGGCTTGCCAAACCCTGTGCCTCAATAGTTGGCCTGGCCTTACATGCATCCCGTGCATCCGGCCAACCACAACTAACTCTAGTGTGCTCTTTGGCAGTTTCCAATGTCAGGCCTGGGAGAGTTGTGCCACCCACATCTACTCTGCTCCACAGTTCAGGAGGCCTCTCTTATGGGGATGGATGCGTGGGTTTGGTTCATGGTTTATTTGGCTCCACCAGTTTCGGTCGAGTTGTCTTTTCTGTGCGCTTTCTATTGTTTTCTTATTTAGGACAAGGGATGTTATGCCTAGGTTACAAATTTAGAAGCAGTTGTAAATTGAAATCTGATATTAAGATAAAATGCACCTAGCCAAAATACATGCATACCTTGGCTTGGACACAAGAAGAAATACTTTTCCAGTTCTGTTAAGGTTTTGTGTATCAGTCATTATTCACTCTAAGCCAGACAATACATGTCTAACTACATTGACATCTCCTCTTTTTTTTTGTTTTCAATGCCATGCCAATGTGGCATCAGATCAAACTTTCAAACCCAACAATCAGGGAAAACAAGTATAAGTCTTGGCGCACTGTGGGCCGGTTTGGCTTGTTTTGTTTGCCTTATGTGGTGCCAGACCGAGACCCGTCAGACTTAGAGGTGACGTGACGAGCCCTGAGGACTAGAGTGTCCCTGATCTCATTACCAAGCTCTATAGAGAGTCAAACATAAACACCTGCAGGGAACAGGCTGATTCCCAGAGAAGCTGTTAGAGAACACACACACACACATATGTCAGTAGGTAAGAAAAGTAATTGAGAGAAGGCTTTTTTATTGGGAGTGACACTAAAAAGGAATGCTACGCTAATAATGCATTTATCAATAAAGGGAATGGAGTCATTGTGAAGAATTCACTAGCTGAAAATGTGCATGCATGATCAGTATGTCCATCAATTTGTGAGAACTTGTGCAGCCTCTAGCCATCCTTCAGAAATAAACAATTCCAACAGCATCCACTTCCTGCTGAGTGTTTTCCCTCTTCTTCAACTTCTTAGCACGGCCATAAGGTTTCATGAGACAGGCAATGGTGATTTAATTGAGCTATTTATGAACACAAGCTGCTTTACTATGATAGCCGACCAGCTTTTCTACATTCCCAGAAGCAACACATGTGCATCTCATCATTGCAATGCAGAACGTTACACTAACTCCAGAGAAAAGGAGATTGCTGCTCTTTTGACGCCAACCTAAAACAGAACATAGAGCTACAGTAGCAACTCGGCTGCACCACGTTAAACCCAGTGCCTGAAAAACTGTTCCATTCTGGGAACAAAGCTCTTGCATTGTAAATCTGCCCAGTAACAGACATCACATGAGTGGCTATGCGCATGCATGTCAACAATGAAAGGTCGTTCCATTTTCAGAATACGCATGTGATAATTTGAGACATGTCGGTTACTAAACTTAGCCACTGAAGTGCATTTTGCTCCATTAGTTAGCAAGCCGCTGGAGGATGGTGGGATGGATGTACGGATGGGTGTGTATGAGGCAGTGAGAACAGGTCAGGTTAAGTGTGGCATGCAGCAGAGGAAGGACTGAGGAATTGTGGTGGGCCTGTTTGCCACTCTGTGAATGCTGATTTACCACTTTGGCACACTTTTCCCCTATCACCGAGCAGGAGCAGACGCACAGACGTGGACTCAATCAGAGATGGAGAGAAAAAAATATGGGAAAGAGTGAGGGTGGGAGAGAGTAAAGAGAGGGTGCTAAAAGCAGCTGGAGGTTCTCCCCAAGGCCTTAAGATCTAATCAATCATTTACAGGGTACATGTAGTTTAATTGATATAAAAATACTTCAGAAATCGCTCTCAAGCTCAACAAACGAGAAGTGTAAAGAATATGTCAAAGACCAGCAAGTAACCAAACAAAGCAGTAATTATTTTAGACATTGTATGTTTGATAAAATGTTTTTTTATTGATATTTAAAAATGAAAGTACATGAATTGTGCATTTCGGACGTTCTAGCGTGCAGAGGGTTAAATCAATAAATACACACAGGCTGAATGAGCTACTGACACAGAAAAAAGTTGCCATTGCTCGGCAAGGTATCTCTTCATATTCAGCTAAAAGAAGTGGTTGTCTTCACGCCATTGAAAAGAACACTAGAGTAGCCTGTTTGAACATTACAATAGTGAATGGATGCAGTCCTAGCAGGAAAATATGAAATAAAATAGAAAATATAATAATTTTTATCAATAATAACAATTTAATAATAATAATAATTGCACTGCCTGCTTTGTTGCACAACTGAAGTAGAATTAATTAGAGACAGGACGCAGCCTTGATAGTTCAGATCTCTCTGACAGAAGAAGATTTAAAGTATTGGCTTGACTCTTCATCATGATGCACGACACAATAGCGGAGGAGAACTATATTGTGCCACAGAATGACTTTGTTTTCTGACATGGGCTTCAGTGGTTTTTTCACAAAGAGCTAAATCATTGTGGCCAGGTAAGGGAAACAACCTCAGCTGCCCTTCCACAACACGATTACCACTGACACTCGGAAACTACTGCACTTCTCCCTCGGAGAAACATAGACTGTTTAGTTTTTTTTCCTGAGTGCTTCAGAAATGGTTCAGTTTGTGATAGTCCCTCATCAAATGCATAATGGATGGGTTATTGGATTATTGTGGAGGGGTAAATGGCAGGCTAAACCACCCTGCTCCCCCTCGCCATGCAATACATACTGTTGATGCGTACGGATCAGTTCATTGTCTTTTACAAACAGAGAAGAAAGAAGACAGACAGACAGACAGTGAGGTTTAAAGCGGTGGTATGCTCTCTCCTTAATAGACAATGACCTTTGGGTGACCTTTGATGACTACTAGCATCATAGCAACATCATTACCTCCAATAAGGCATCAACACAATGACTCGTGTAAGTCACGTGTAAGCTAACCACTAAAATCTACAACTGACCGGACAGCTACAGCCTCGTGACCCAAACCAACACGCGAAAAAAATCAGTGGCACTGGCACGTAGGCAAGATGCTCTTTAGAAGATCATAGGACACCATGTACAATTACAAAGACATGATTTAATGAAGGACTGATCATTTCTCACGCCATCAATACTAAAGTGGCTTCAAAACATAGTGGGTTTGAGTACAATCAATGTTGAACAGTTATTTTTCCAATAATAAAAAGTCATTCATTTATGCTTTCTTTTTCACAGATTAAACCCTGACAGGCTTCTGGAAATCCATGCAGATCAATGTATTCAGAGTATGTGCCTATTCCTATGACATAACACGCCTAAGCAATCCAGGCTATGCTGCTGTTAAAATATTAATTTAAAGTAACTATGGCAAACGGAAAAGGAAAAAAAAGACATTATTTTTGGTACAAAGCAATCTACAAAAAAGCCTTACAACTCCAATTGGAAAACAGAGATCATACAAAATAAATCCGTCAGTTGAGCATCAGTGCTACGTATATTATTTGGACCAATTTTCAAATATATTTTATAACAAAATAAATAATGCCTTTATACAGTGCCCTTATTTGTATTTCAACAAACAAACAAAAAAGCTTGGCGGCTCATTACGCAAGATACAGCTCAGACTAAAGGAAAATAACACAACGTCCCTGGAAACTAATTATATATCTATATATATCTATCTATATATATGTATGTATATATATATAAATAAATATAGATATATAGATTGTATATATACACATATAGATATATATGTTCAAGTATTGTTTTTCAGGCAAAAGCATGTGAATACTACTGATATACAATAAAAATAAAATGTTAGTTGACATTATTGCTGTTTTTTTCCCTTTGAATTGAAATGTTGTGCCTTTCTTTAGAACTGTAAAATAACATTATAACATAACCATGGAAACAAAAGAAAAGCCTAACTTGGAAAAACAGGAATGTCACGGTACAGAAACTGACGGGGTTTTCCTTTTTTTGTTCATTGAAACATTGATATGAAAAGAAAACAGATAAAAGACACAATCAAATATAATCATCATTATCCCACTTGTTCTTTGTCCATTCCAAGTTACTTCCTGCGAGAGCAGTCTGCAAAACCATGGCAAACAGGAAGTTCTGTCCCAGAACTGTAGTACTGTCCAAATCCAGGCGGTCCACGGTGTCCCATATGTCCCCCACTGCTCCCTGTGTCTGCCAGGGACAGGAAGAACAGGGACTGGGTTTCAGGTCCCCCTTGCCGCTTACGCTGGCAAGCTAGTGATGAGCGGCCGCGGCACTCGCTGTGAGCCTAGATGCCGATACAGCCCATTTATTTTCTCAGTGACACTTCCCCCCTTGACATTGCCACTGCCAGGAGCTCCACCATATCCTTTATCTTCCTTTTTTCAAAAGTCACACTTTCCTTAAAACGGAAAGTTTTAATATTCATTCAAAGAAAAAAA